CACTTGGCATAACCTTTCTCTAACAAGTAAATAAACACTGCGCGAGGCAGAGTAGATAGCTCTCTATTGAATACAATCCTTGTATACCCAAGCGTTTGCTCCACAGAGCGCAGCCCCTTACAGACGTCTTTATTATAGATACTATACTTAGCCTTTGTCTTCTTTATAAGCTTAAACTAGCTCTTAATTAAGACTAGATCTTTATATAAAGCTCTCTGCCTATTATACACTTAATTAAAACGCGTTATAAGACTGTTAGTACGCTTAACAAAGTTGCGCGGCTAGTGGACGCTAACCTAGCTAGCGCCGCGCGCAGCTAGCAGTCTATTAGCTATATCTCGCATAGCTGCATAGGTAGGCGAAAATCCACGTAGATCCAGATTAAGTACATAATTAATTATTACCTGCTCTTCTAGCTTAGTAAGCTTCTTTAAGTTAGGCTAGCAATCGCGTTAGGCAGGCTTGCTAACGCGTTAGTAGTGGATTGTTCGTTCTAACATGTTATAGATAGCAGCAGCACTGCGATTACTCTATATCTAACTAGATTTAATAGAGAATATAGTAAGCTAGATATCTACTTTATTTAAAGCTAACTAACTAGCGTTGCGTTAAGCTATTATGTATTAAGATGAGAGAGGTGCATAAAGTTAGTGGGGTGCGGCGCTCGCTTGTACGCGGCGCTCGCTTGTAAAACACGTTATGCCATATATGTATGTTATGCAAACAGTCCAGTCCCCGAATTCGGCGGGGCCCACACACACACACGCCTTGATAGCCGCCGATAAGCGCCGTCCATGTGTTGGAGTACCTAGATATCGGAGTTGGGGGGGGATTGTCTATCTTTACTAACATGCAAACACATAAAACTGCAAATGCAAATGCAAATGCAAAATACGTTAACAGTCTCCAAAACTCCAGCGTCGGCAGGCAGAGTCAAGTCCCGGTTTCCGGGGGTGATAATCATCACATAAGTAAGTAGAATGAAGGCAGCAATCGCCATGTGTAAGTAAGTAAGTAAGTAAGTACTTAGCTACCTCCAAGTCGCTGGCACTAAGTAAGGGAGGAATAACCGCACCCGGACGAGACGACTTTCCCATTGCACTGAGTCATAGAGCTGCATGGCCTTGGCGTCATTGTTAAATAGCCTAGGATGAATTCTT